TTTTAAACTAGGTTCTATAAAGTAATTTTTATTTTTTATTTCATCACATCCTTATGTCACTGATCCACATTTTATTTGCAATGCATGCACATACTAAATGCAGACTCCGTTTGCACATTTCAAACAGGCCTGATTTGGCTACATCTCGTTTGTTCTCACATTATTGTGTAGCATTGTCATTTCAATGACTCGGTAAGCGTGCACGCTGTTACCATCTCAGCGATTCATACACTGACTACAACATGACCAATGCAACAATTATATCCAGTGATCGCATTCGATTCTGTCGTCTATTAATCTATATCGAAACTCAGTCTAACCTGTTGCATTGTAAAGCTTCATCATCGACCCCCAGAGTGAAAATAAGCTCGTCCATTCAGCAGCAGCAGGACTTTAAATTCACTCCAATGTGGCTTTCATCCCCTCAGAAAGGTGTTGAATCTACTGCACCGCCGCTGTCTTCTGTAAATCCATGCTTTGTGGGACAGGACTGGCGATTATCAGCGTGAAAGTTTCTCGCTTGCTTTGTCTGGGCTGTTCCCTCTGCTCTGTTTCAGCCATGGAAAGCGTTTTCCATTCTTTCAAATCACCTTTAGTCAAGATATCCCGCTGTACTGCATGCTTTCAACCGCTAGAGGCGCTAGGCGACAGACTAGTGCAAAAGCGCGTGTGTAGAATTCAATTTTACCGCAATTTAAGCATCTTTTAGTTTCTTAATTGAATATTTTATGTATATGTAATGCATATAAATATATTAATATAACATGTTAAAAAAATTATGTGACTATGTGAATCATGTTACACTTTAAAATTGCTTTCATAATTGCATTTACCCTTAGTGGCAGTAGTTCAGAAGTTCATCTGCAGGCTTGTCTGAGTCCTTATTATGAATATTTGGCTCCACCTGCTGGTCATCATGTCCATCTGCAAACAGTTCAAGCTCCACAAAGTGCACGTAGCACGTAGTATATGGCAAGCCGTTTTGACTTTTATTCCTTCACAGGATATGAATTCTTGATATCAACAATTCAAGCTTCACTAGTCAAAATGCTAATTCTTGATATCAGAAATTAGATTTCTACTAGTAACAATGGCTAATTTTATATCAGGAATTACATTTCCACTAGTAACATAATGCTAATTCTTGATATCAACAAATACATTTTCACTAGTTAAAATGGTACGTAATTATTGATATCAGGAATTAAATTTCAACTGGTAAAAAATATAATCATTGATATCTGCAATTGTATTTTCACTAGTTAAATGTCACCATAGGCTGCCATTCAAATTTAATTGTTGATATCAAGAATTGATTTCTTACTAGTTGAAATTACAATTTCACATATCAGAAATACAATTCTTGCTAGTAAAAACCTTTATTTTTTATATCAGTAATCACATAGTTACTAGTACAGACGTCTATTCTTGATATCAACAATTTAATTCTCACTAGTGACAATGTTCATTTCTGATATCATTGTGATCTGGCAGATGAAGTGGTCAAAGATATGCCTTACTACCCTGAAGAAGAGAAACTCTTTGCTATTAAAGCTGCAAGTCTGTCAGACAAGTTGGTGCTGTATCATGATAACAGGGCTGGATTTACCACTTAAAGGCTAGTGTGAACGGGGGCCCACTGTCTAATTTAGGTAAAATATAAAAACAAATCTTTGAAAAAATATAAATGTACTTTAGAAGCAGAAGAAGAAGATATTAAAGGGGTCATCGGATGCTACATGCACTTTTACAAGTTGTTTGAACTGAAATGTGTGTTAAAAAAAAACTAACACTAGCTTATTTTATCTTTTTGCATTCTATCTATTTGTTTTCTTTTTATTTATTATCCAATTAACAAAAGCAAAAAAGACCTCTAACACTAGCTTGCTCTATTCTTTTTCTATTCTATCGGTTTTCTTTTTATTTATTATATAATTAAAAAAAACCTTGCTACGTGTACTGCGTTAAGCTAACTGAGACTTGTTATAGCACTTGCATATCATTGCTCTTTTGTTGATTTTGATTGTTGGGAAAAATCATGTAACTTAAATCCCCACAAGAAATGTGTAGGAAAAATGGGAAAAATCATAATCACCATTACTTTGGTCAATATTGTAATCACGATTATTTAACAGGATTATGAGGGGGCCATATGACCAAACCTTTATATGAGTGATTTATTTAAACATAGTGATACATATCAAATATATATTTCCTGTAAATAAGGTTGTTATGACATCTACATTTTTTTGTTTCTTATTAAAGCTACAAAAGTTCTTCACTCAAGAGCTTGTGTGATTTTGAATTTGTCTTTTGTTGTTTGATTAATATTAAGCACACAGTTGCAGCAGGAAAATAGCCCGCTGTCACTTTAAGAGCCGCACAGATCCAATTTACCATTAACACGCGTATTTACATTCTCAACTCTTTACGTTTATTTATTACATGACCGACGAAGGTATGCATGAATAATCACTAAGCGCCGCATTTTGACATGCGTGTATTTGACCGCTTAGGCGTGCACCTTGAGCTAAAAGATGACTTTACATGTCCGTATTCTGTTCCGTCTCTGAGCGCATAAATCTTCCTGAGGAGCAGCGCAAGTTCTCTTTCACGCTTTTAAAAACATGAATAAATATACTTCTATAAATCAAGCATGTCCCATTTTGCAAAAGTCACGTTACATGATTTTACTGATTTGCACGTGACACTGGGCTTTTATGGAGGAACGAAACGCAGTGCTGGAAAAGGAACCAGAATGGGGAGCAATAATCGTTTCATCTCGATTATTGTATTTTCATAATCGTTGGAGGCCAAAATCGAAATCGAAACTGTTTTTCGATTAATTGCACAGCCCCTACTAAGAGTATGTGTTAATTGTGTATTTGACTAATATTCTACCTGGGATTTGCATGTTCTGTATATTCAGGTACAGCTAAAGCAGTGGATTTATGGAAATGTATCAAGTCCATGTTCATGTTTTACAGTCCATGTTCGTATTTGATGGAATAGACAAAATGCAACTACGTCATAAAATCTTTTCTAGACTACAAATGCCCATGTTGATTGAGTGTCATTCCGCAATGCAATATTTTTTTAGGAGAAACACTAATATGTAATTGTTAGATTCAAGTGGAGTGGCAGTTAAATGCCTTGACTCTCCCAAAAGAGTGACCCAACTAATGATAAGCATGTTTGTTTATAGTAATGCAGGTGGGAATGTAATTGCTGAAGTGGCTCTGGATTACTGGAGAGAATGCAAAATTCGGAAAGAGCTTTGGATGAACAGCAAGGAAATGGAGATTAAAATCAAAATATCACAATATCTTAAATGACAAGAACTGTGTGTATATGTGTTTTTTTTTACTGTAAATGGTTTCTTAAAATATTAAATTTGATTTCCCTTAAACCTGCACATATATGGTGACATTCCTGTATTACATGCACAACATTTTCTTACATTTTTAATGTGTATGTTTGTTCAACAGATGGATTTTTGCACTCTAGTATCTCATCAATTGGTTGATCACTATATTCCTTTCTCACTGTACCTCTGGAGCTGAAGCATGGCTGGTGTGTCATGGGTGAGATGGTCCATCTGAATATCACCCAAGATGCTGATCTGGCAGATAAAGTGATCAGAGACATGCTCTTCTATCCTGAAAAAGAGAAAATATTTGCTGTTAAAGGCTGCAAGTCTGTCAGACAGAAGTTGGTTGCCTATATCAATGAATATATAAAAGACTTTTGTTCACTTTTTTGCACTGTTGCTGATTTAAATCTAGAATGCACAAAGTCCAACAGCAATAAAGTATGACCTGACCCTTCTCCTCTGTTGTTTTTTTTTTTTTTTTTTTTTTTTTAAT